GTTCTGATCCGCCTCTGTTCTGGTGTCTGATCTCCAGAGAGGATCTGAAGCGACCCATCAGAACTCAGTGGAGGTGGTGGAGGATGAGGATGGGGCGCGGCGAGGAGGTGGAGGAAGAGCGCCGTGATCCATCTCTCTGCTGTGGAGACCTGAGGGAATCTGACAGAGAAACAGCAGCCTTGAAATTACAACAACACTATTATTTAATAGTGTTGTTGTAACACTGTTGCTGTTATTACATTATCAATGACGATAACGTTTCTCCAACATTGATGTTGAGGGTCAAGTGTTCAAATTAGTGATAGATTCCAGTTTTGACATCATATCAATTTGATTTGTTATTGATTGTTAGGAAATGCACCATGTTGAAATCATATAAAAGAAAATTAAGGCTGCCTGGGAAAATACGAATCACCCTGTTAAATTAACATTTTAATATGAAATTCAAAAGTTTTTGTGCAGACAAATCTGCAGGTTTTCCTTTTTAAGAAGAATATTCTAAGACTTAATGCGTCTCAAACTCCCTCCAAGCTCATGTATCTTTCTAAAAAGTTACTTGTAAATCAGTTTTGTCTTATTTTAAGTGTCCAAATGTACTTGAACAATAAACTAGACCAAAAATAAATGGTAATATTTTGTTTTTCTCTGATAGTATCCACGTTTTAACTCAATATAAAGTCAGTTCTTGTAATTGTGGCTGGAGAAAGACATTCTCTACCTTTTCTCTGCTTTTCTAGCTGAAGAACAGCGCGCTAGCATGGCAGGCAAATCCACTGCATATGCAAACATGTAAAACATGACTGCATATATGCCTTAAAAATAACTTTTAAAAAAACCACTGCACAATTATCTGAATGAAGCAACAAGACAAAACCTTTGTTGCCTCTTTACTGCAACTCCTAGTTTGAAGGAAGTGAGGAAGAGGAGGAAGTTAAAGAGGAAGGGGAGGAAATGGAGGCAGAGGTTTGTTGCAGTTGAAAGTGGTTTTTAACATCCTTCATTCTCCAAATCCAAAGTCATTTCCAAAGATTTTCCCCAAACTGAAACGAAAACATCCAACATGGTGGAGTTTTGTTGTCTGGTTTGATTCTCATCTGTGAGGATTTCCTCTTTAGATTAGCAGCATTTTCCCTTATTTTCCATAAAAGCGCCAAATCACCTTCAACTGTATTTTTTTATTTTAACACTTTATTTCGTTCCTTTTCTAAATCATGTGTGATAGACTGAGAAGGATGAGGTGGGTTAAACATGTTATCTTGGATTAAATCACCTTAATATTCACCAAAAAGTCCAGAAATCATTTGGATTTATACAGCTCCTCCACCTCTTCAGGACAGTTTGACACTGTTTGTGTTTTTTTATATCTCTAACAATTTTCTGACACAAAGATGGACGAACCGTTTGAGAAGGTAGGCACAAGCAGAATATCCTAAATTATATTCTTAATATGCAATTTTCCACTTGATGAGTGTCAAAATGGGGCATTTCATCCAAAATGTCTTGTTTTACCTCCCAACTTTCTGCCACATAGAGAGAAAATGCATGTGAGGATCATGAGGTGAGTTCATGCGTGTTACAGGAGGTGAACTGTAACATGCATGTTATTATGAGTAGAAATGCAAACTACACCAACAAGGTGTTTAACGGACTCGTAATGCAACCGTAGACTCTCAGGTGTTCTGTAATAATTCAGCTTTAGAAGTAATTTAGCTTCCAGGTTCTGAGTCGCAGTAAAATCCCAAAACTTCCCAGTTTTATTTCCCTTTTTCTTTCTCTAAAACCTTTTGTCAGCCTTTTGAACTTGAAGGTTTCTCTCCTCCAGATGGACACGGAGGCCAGCGACCTGCTCAACGACCTGCAGGTTCGGCTCAACAACGTTCTGGACGACCTCAGCAGCACGTTTGGGAACAGGTACGCCGCCCTCACACCCCCACGTTTCCCCCACTTTGTCCCAGTGCATCACTGGCTTTTCTTCTCCTGCAGCTTCCAGAGCCGCATCACCGACTGCATGCGGCAGATGGCGTCGCTGCTGTACCAGATCAAAGGACCGCTCAACGAAAACACCAAGAACCAGGTGGAGGGCGACTCGGACAACATGCTGCGGCCGCTCATGGACTTCCTGGATGCGCAGTGGGTTCAGTGGGATTTCCCCAAACACGGCTCGTCCGTCGGCGTGTGTGTGAACGTCTTGTTTTTGCAGATTAACGCTGTTCGCCACGGTGTGTGAGAAAACCGTCCTGAAGCGCGTTCTGAAGGAGCTGTGGAGGATCGTGATGACCAGCCTGGAGAAGAACATCGTCCTGCCGCAAGGGAACGACACCTTGGTGAGTCTGACGCTCGTCTCCGTCACTGGACAGGTTTCCATCCAGATGGTTTTGAAATGTTGTCAAAAAGTGTGAATTAAAACACAATCTTACCAAATATTTTTGATCTAGTTGTCAGTGAAACTATCTTAGAACAGCAGAAAAATGAGAAAACTAACTCACAAGTAGCTTTTCAGCAAGAAATAGAAGCTTGTTTTAAGTCAATAATTTCTTAATATTGCTGACAAAATTTGATTATTTCACCTAAATCAAGATATTTTTGCAATGTTATAAGGGAAATAATAACCAGACTAAAATCTCATTTTATATCAATAATTTTGGGCAAAATAAATGTAATGAACTTATTTTGTGTAGGACAGATTATTTCACTTATAACAAATCATTTTCCCTTAAATTAAATAATCTGCCAACTACTTTTTTTAATCAATATTAAGGAATTATCGACTTAAAACAAGCTTCTACTTCTGATAAATTACTACTAAGTTATTTTTGTCTTATTTAAAATGTGCTGAGATATTTTAAAATTCAAATTCAAACATACTTTATTGATCCCAAAAGAAAAGTTAAATGTTGTAATTCACATTCGTCAAATTTGCACTAGAAACTAGAGCAAAAATACTTGGTAAGAGTTTATGGTTTTGCAGTGTAATTTGCATTTTCTTTTATACATTATTAAAAATTTGTTCAAAATTTGAATCACTGCTGGATGGAAACATGGCTGCCATTTTGAAATGGATCAACTCGTAATTGTGTCAGATGATGAGATGCAAACATTTTGACAGACGTGACCAAACACAAAAAATATTTTTATCCATTATGTTTTAAAATGATGACTGTGGCATATTCAGTTTAATTATTAGTCAACAAACTGAACATCATCCAATCACATATAGAGTAGATAAATAACTCACTTTATGTATGAACATGAGTTGTATCGATGCTTTTTTCCATCTCCATCAAACTTTACTAATATGATCATTAAAATTGAAACAAGGCTTCTGAAAACTAAAAGAATCATTCATTTTTCTGTTTTTCCTGAAGGGAGCACAGATCCTTTCTGCTGCTAAAGAACTGGGACACCTTTCCAAACTGAAGGTATCAGGTTGCCTTTGAGTTTGCTTTCTCCTGTGAATTGGTCTAGTCAAAGTCTTGGTTTGGGTTGTTTAGGATCACATGGCAGGAGACGCTAAAAGCCTGACGCCCAGGCAGTGTGCCGTCATGGATGTGGCTCTGGATACCATCAAGGTGAGAGCGAAACGACCTCTGGTCAAACAGAAAAGTACAATTCATTCACATTTTAAGAGTCTTTTAGTTGATTAACTAAAAGTCTGATTAACTCCACTTTAAGTTTAATCATTCAGGTTGTAGAACGCTGATTCCTCTCGTTTTGTTTCCTACGCAGCAATACTTTCATGCGGGCGGGAACGGCTTGAAGAAGACTTTCCTGGAGAAGAGCGCTGAGCTTTCGTCGCTCCGCCACGCTCTCTCGCTCTACACCCAGACCACCGACACGCTCATCAAAACCTTCGTGACCACGCAGCATTCACAGGGTAGATCCAAAACGCCTCCAAGGAGATTAAATACGGGAGAGTTTCAGATTCCTCGCTGCTTTTATCTCCTGGATTTGGTTGTTTAAGTTGCTGTCTTGTTTTTATCTCCTGCTGCCTCTGTGCCAGTGCACAATGGGAAGGGTATTAGGTTAACCCCTAATGAGAAAATCCAGCCCAGCAGGGGTAGGTCTCCATGAAATCATCATCAGCCCAACTTCCCTTCATCGTTTTCTCTCTTCTGTTTTGTGAAACCTGCGTTTCCGTCGCATGACTCTATAAAACTTGGTTTTCTTTGCCTGCATTGGACCAAATGTTGTTTGTGTTAAACCAGGCTCAGGTGTGGACAAACCCATCGGAGAGGTTTCCCTGCAGATTGAGCTGTACACTCATCCCAAGAGCGGAGAGCGGAAAGTTACTCTCAAAGGTCCGTTTGGGCTCATTTTGAACCAATGAAATCAAAGCTGGAGCATTTTAGTGTCATTTCTGTTTAAATGTTTGTGTCATTGATGCAGTGATTGCAGCCAGTGATTTGAAGTGGCAGACGTCTGGGATGTTCAGACCCTTCGTGGAAGTCACGATGATCGGGCCGCACCTCAGCGACAAGAAGCGCCGATTTCAGACCAAATCCAAGAACAACAGCTGGTCTCCCAAATACAACGAGACCTTTCACTTGTAAGTTCAAAACCAAACGTCGTGACACATTTAGGATTTGAAGCTCTTTTAATTCTGACTTCATAAACTGTTGGTTACACAAAACAAAGTCCTTGTGAAATTACTGGACAATGTCAGCTAATGCGCTAGCAGCACAGCTAATTGTTCATTTAGTGTTTCTGCTAAACATTTAGTGAACTTCCTCAAATTTAACTTTTCCAAATAAAATCTGGATTTATTTTAAGAAATTAATTGTGTGGCATTAGTTTTAAAAGTTATTTTAAAAAAAGCTAAAATTAGCTCTACTATTAGCACATTAGCAGCTAATGGAAGTGTCCCTTCTACTGCAGATGTCAAACTTTATTCAACTGAAAGTGTAGAAAACAGCAAAAGTACATTAGTGCTTTAGAATTTAACTTAAAAACTGATTTAGGGGAATCAAAATGTGTTGCACAACAAATTTGTTCTGCTATTAGCACATTAGCAGATTAGCAATAGTGTAATCTACCACTGCAGATGTGGACCTCAAATAAAAGTAAAATGTTTTGATTTAAAATGGAAAATTAGATCATCAAAAGCTAGGTGTACGAATGTTTTTAAAGTTTCAGAAAAAGCACAAAATCAGGAATTAGCTCTGCAATTAGCGCCCTAGCCCATGTGCTCCCACTCCTGTGTTCTGCTCTCGCTCTGCAGCGTTCTGGGTGTTCAGGACGGGTTCGAGTGCTACGAGGTTCAAGCCTGCGTCAAGGACTACTGCTTCGGCCGCGCCGACTGGGTGGTGGGCCTGGCCGTGGTGCAGCTGAGGGACATCATGGAGAGGGGCAACTGCGCCTGCTGGTGCCCCCTGGGGCAGCGCATCTCCATGGACGACACGGGCCTGACCGCCATGCGGATCCTCTCCCAGCGCTCCAACGACGACGTCGCCAAGGAGTTCGTCCGGCTCAAGTCCGAGACCCGATCAGCAGAGGAGGGAAGATGAGGCTCTGCTTGATGCAGTGGCACTGCTTTGACCTCTGACCTGTCTTGGCTGCTGTGTAAAACCTCACCAGCTTCCAGTGTTCTTCAACTTCACATTTTTTTAAGTCTCGTCCGCCTCTACTGAGGAGACAGAACCCATCCAGAACCTGTCAAAGGGCCGAATAAGAACCCACCCGCCCCGAGTGTTCTTGTGCAATAAATCCAACCCACCCCTCCCAAAGTGTGGCCAAGTGGTTCAAGCCTTACACTCTGCAAGCTGTGAATGTGTGTTCATGTAAAAGGAAAGAAATCCCTGTTTTTAATGAACACAAGTCAAATATTTCACTTCACTTAGCAAAGAAAAACTACAAATCACAATTTGTTTTCTAACAGTTTGAGCAGGAAAATGCCTTGTCATGCAGAAACGATGCTAATCCTCGTTTTCACATGAAAAATGTTTGAATTTAACTCATCGCTTCATTTCATCCTCTATTGGTAGTAATTTTTATTTCTCTGTTTTCTGCATGTCATGACCATTTTATTTATATTTTTGTATATTTATTTCCCTTTTAAAGATTTGATCTGATTTCTGCTCCATTATTGACATTTTTGTTGAGATTTTTTGGGTTTTGTTACAAACTGAGTTGCACAGCAGGACTTGAGTTGGAATAATTACAAGTTTACATTTCTCTCCTTTTTTGTTTTTTATTCTGCTCTTCATACGAGTGGCCTTAATTATAAAAATGATGTTTATTTTTAATCTCTTTACCTTGTAATCGTTATAATTTGCATGTTTCTCCAGACTGATGTCCTTAACATTTTGTATTTTTCATTTTAGTTATTTTATGTAAGCTGTAATCTGTCATGCTGAGTATCAATCCCATGTTTTTTTATTTACCATTTCTTTGTATTTTCTGTAGACAGCGATTTATTTTGAACTCTTTTTGTTTCAGCAGCTTTTTAATGGATGAAATTAAACTACAGATTCAGCCTCTTACCTTCCCTCAGTAATTCAATGTTTCTGTTGATGGGAGCAAATATTTCCTTGTGCCAAGTTAAGTTTTCACTTTAGGTTTTTTTAATTACTGCACATTTTGTAACTTTTGACCATAAATCACTGCATTTATCTGGAGTTTTCATTGGACTGTCACGTCTCTTTAAATCTGTCTCACTGTGTATGATTTCCACTCAATATTTTGTATAAAGTATTTAAGACTTGTATGGAAATGTCTTTTATTTCTTATACTACGGACTAAAAACGTAATTTTCACAGTGAAATCAGTGTATTTATACTGGGCAAATTTATAATAGATCTTATTGCACTTTGTGAGGAAAAAGGTGCAAATTAAACTGGAAGTCTCTTCTAACCCCACCTGCATCATCCAACCGTTGCTTCCTGTTCATCACCATTGATTAATCAACGCTGGTCCAAGACGCGTCACGTCCAATCACTGTCCAAGTCCCAGCTGATAAATAGCACCGTCCATGGCGTCTTCTGCTGTCCAGCAGAGCTCAACCCTCCTCCACCCCTTCACCTCCACTCGCTCGGCTCTCCGGCTGCATCCTTTCTTCACCTCCATCACCAATGTCTCGTCTCGGGGGATGACGTTCCTTTCAGCATATGGAATGCTCATCCAAGCTCATCGCAAAGATTGTGATGATCGATGTCCTCAGCCGGGGCCCAAGCGCCAAAGACTTAAATTTTGTATGTCAATAAACTCTTCTAATGGTTTCCATTTTCTCCGTCTAAGTCTCTCCAGATTGAATTAATGTTCAGATGAAATCAACTCAGATTTTTCCATTGTGAACTAACCATAAAAGTTCATCTGAATATGTGTGAAGTGCACAATTCTAGTCCAAGTTCAGGGAGCAAAAACAATCTTTAATACATCTGCAGACAGAGGGAAAAATATACTCTGCATTAGGCGAAAATCTAAATCTGCTCTAACGAACTCAGAGTTACATAGTGGCTTTATTCACCTCTCAGCTAACAGAGGCGGAGATTAAGTTCCCAGACGACCCGCCTGGGAAACTTCAGCAGACGCATCTTGTTCAGTTAGTTTGTACACCCTCTGCAGCTGCACCGAAAAACATCTTGACTATAATACAATTACATTTATGTGATACATAAAAGAAGACTGTATGATGCAAATAAAACATTTTCTCTTTAAAGAAAAATCTACTTCACATATGTTGGAATGTCATTGTTCCAGAAATGGTGAATTTCATATGTGCATCTTTTTTTCCACCAGTTTTTCTTTCCACTCCACTTTTTATTAAAATGTAATACTGTCTTCTGGAAAAAGCCATCTTGTTCAAGAATTATTTTTTGTGGCAGATATTCACCATGATTGATTACTCCATAATGTGGCAATAGTTACCTTTTTATTGGTTTTGTGAAACCATGCAAACAATTTATTGTTTGCGGAATAAAATGTATTAAATTATCTAACTAAAAAGTCACCCAAGCCTTCTTTTAGTGTTGCAGTTTGGCTTCCATCCAGCAGAGTGTTTCTCTGGTCTTTCTGAAGAGGAACCATTGATACAAAATTGCGGTGGTATGTCTGACGAAGTATGAGGAATGAGGTCAAAACCATAAATGTGGCCCAGTTTGGGGTCACCATTTGTGGATTGTTTGGAAAATAGAGTTAATCAATTTACTGGATTGAACTGGAGATTGATAAAACAAAGAGTGGAGTTTTCTAATTTGCATTTTTGTGCCATAAAAGAATTGGAAATCAAACGTGCAAAGACTTTGACTGGAAAGTAAAAACCAGATTTAATAGAACACACTGTGTCAAATAAAGTGTTACTCCTTTCAAAATGTTCATTTCCAGGATTCCAACCACAGATGGATGTTGGAGGAATGTGTTGAATGGTCGGTCATCACACACGTCTTCTGGTTCTGACCACAAATAAAGACTTTCTAGGAGGAAATGAAACAGGAGACTGAGGACATTCTGAGGACAGATCTCCCCATGGAGACTCTTCTGTTTCTGCTGGACATAAACACCAAGGATTTACTCACTAAACATCAATGTTACATATTGTTGCATCTTCTGCTGCTGGTAGCAAGAAAGACAATTAGACTAAACTGGATTAAACCCTGATCACCAACTGTTGCTGAATGGAGAAAAACTGAAACATGACAACATGATGGAGCGTCTGACTGAACAACTAGACATAAAAAAGATCATTAAATATGTAGTTTGGAAAATAAATACTGAATTTGAAAATTAAATGTTTAGTTTGTAAAATAAATATTTTTTTGAAGCCAAACATTTAGCTAAAGTTTGATTTCCAAAAATTAAGTTTTCAATCAAAGTAAATATTTAGTTTATAATGAACGTTTGGATGACATGATGAAAATATTTGTTTGAAAAATGCATTTCCCAAGTTTTACTTTATGACATGATGAATGAACTGTATTAGTATTTTCTGTTACTATCAATCATCACTACAGTAATGATCAAAAGTAAGTACACCCTCATTTTATCAGCACTTTCTTCCTCATGAAGATTTTATCAACCTGCCTCTGATTTCACCTCAGAGCTTCTACTTCCTGGTTCTGTTGCTCTGGAGGAAAAAACTACAGGTCAGGTGAGCTGTGACGTCATTGGTTATGCAACATCCGTCACATTTACTTTCAGTTTGAATTCACCTGTTCAGGTGTGGCTCCAGTCCGTTTGTCGGGTTTCAGTCTGTTGTTTAAATTTTCTTCTTTAACTCTTTGGATATTTTGAACAAACTGTAAGTTTGATTTGTTTATTTCTTGAACTTTTTCATCACTTTAACTTTTTCCAGATTATTTCTATTCTCTGATGTTTGTAGAAAAGTTTCACTTCTGATTTCAGCTGAAACTTTAATATCTGCTCTTTGAAGGCTAATCTACAGAATTATTAGATTATTGATGAACTGGAATCAATCAACATGATGAACAGCTGATGTTTCACTGTCTTCTTCTCCGAACTAATTCATGTTTTTATTTCCTGGTACTGAACTCTAGTCTCCACCATTAATATCAACAACAGTTTCCTGTTGCTTCCTTTCAAAATAAAATATTGTTAAAATTATTATTGATTCAGTCAAATTATTAAATAGTTAACATTTAATGGAGCAAATAATCCACTTGTATTAATTACTAATTGTGAACTATAAGACTTGTTCAGGTTGAATCAGTGAATGTAAATGTTGCTCCATGTCTCCATCTAGTGGTCTGATAGTAGAAGTGCAGCAGCTGATGGCAGCTTCCTCTGCCTCTCTGCTGTCTGACTGCATTCACCTGACACTGATATGAAGCAGAGAAGAAGAGCCAATCAGAGGAGGAGCAGCTGATCTTTTTCCAGCACTAATGATGTAAAGGATGATCAGAGTTGATGTGCAGATGAATGATGTGTGTTTCCTCTGCAGGTGAAGCTAGAAAGTGTGTGTGAGCTGATGTGGATTCAGCAGCATGGATCAGTGTGAGGACAGAGAGGAGGAGTCCCTCCCTCTAAAACCACTCTGTGTGGGGAAGATGAGAGCCAGAGCAAAGGTCAGAGGTGAGGTCACCATCTCTAACTGTCCACAGCCCTTTTCACACAGCGTTCACTATATCAGGCCAGAACAGACGTGGTGATGAAGCTGCTGCTGCTCCTCTTTGCTGATTAAGTTTTAATCATCATGTTTCTGTCAGGATCCATCAGAGACTCAAACCAGAACCAGAACCAGAACCCAGCTGTGTGTCCTTGAAGAGCGACAGGTCAAAGGATGCGAACATTGTATTTAAGTCTCCTGGATCTCCACCATCAGAGAGGTGAGCTGTTTTTAATTCCTGTTAGTGTGGAAACTGAACCAGTATGAATATCCCAGTTTTTATTTATTCTGCTGACAGTGTGGAGTGTTTAAAGTGCAATATCAACTTTTTTACATAATCTGAGTGATTCTAGTGTTACTGTGATCCATTTTCCTCTTTCTAACTCCTTTGTGTTGTGTTCATGTGATGCTCTGTTTTACTGCTTCAAGTATTTGTAATGTGAAACTCCTGGTGATTTCCTCCATGAAAACTGTTGGATGAATATTTTCTGACTTCTGTTAAGAACAGAGAAAATAGCTTCACTGTTTCCCAGGTCCATCAGTCTCCGCGTGCGCAGAGGAATAATAAAGAACAATCATACGACATGAGACTTCAGACATATAAGAGCTTTCTCCAGAGAATTCAATGCATACAGAATGTTACATCAGCATTACACCCAGATCATCAAAAAGTCTGACACATAACAACACAGAAAGCATTCCCTGGGACGAGTTGAAAAGAAAAAACAAAACAAAATTGCATTTTTGAGAGTCGCTCACTCGGGCACAAAGTGATTGGAGCTTCTGCTGGAAAACAGAGCTTTTTATAAGAATGTGTATTCCCTTCATTTAAATATATGCATTAGGAGGTGTGTTGTTCCCCTCATAGGGCTGTCTCAAAGTTAATTTTATTACCTCTGAGACCTGCTAAAACACCCAGATCTTCCAGTGCCGGTCTCCTCCTTTTTACGTTCCAGGCCATGATTTATGACCTGCAGCTGGACAGTCCTCTCTGCCTCAGAGATTCAGCAAGAAACTGATTTGTATTTTAAACAAACTGGCACAAAAATAAAATGCCAAATAATAACTATAAGTTTGGATCTAACAATAACAGGGTTATCCACTTTTGGAAAAGCTATTTTTTAGAATACCTGAAATTTAGAATTAAAATAGTTTCCTGATCCTATCGTATTTCAATAATATAAAATGCATGCAAATAGTATGGTTAAAAGCTAACTAATTCAAACATGCTGTTAATGCTTAAAGGAAATATCTTAATGCGTTTGATTATACTTTGGAGAAGACTTTTTAAAGTTTTAATGTTTCACTGAACTCTTGAACCGACAACAAAAAATGTATTGATGCTGATGACAGATAGACTCCCTGTCTGCAGATCCTTATGGGACTCCAACACTGCCTGTCAGAAAACCCTCCTTAGAAATTTATGTAAGTTCAGAGAGTCACCAGTTGTTTTAGTTTGGATCTTTGTCTAAGTTTACCTAACTTGAAATCTACTCTAAATGTTCTTGCAACATCTAATATTCCATATGCACAAAGGTTGACTGTCTTTAAAGTTATGCTAATGAGACTTATATTCTCAACACTTCCTAATTGTTCCCGGTTCCTCCACAGAGTGGACCAGCAGAGCTCAGAGGTTCCCAGGGGTCCATCTGCCCAGCAGCATCAAACAGAACTGGAGTCCATATTTATGGTCTGTATATGAACAACAATTAATTTTCCACGAGTTCTGTTCAAAGTCACCTTCATGCTTCACTTTGTAGACCAGAGGACTGTCAGTCTGTCCAACATCCATCTGGTGTTTGGCTCCATGAATTCAGTCCCATGTGTCCATCTATTATTCTTTTCCAGCTGCTGGAGGAAAACATTGTTACTTTTCTGAAGAACGAGTTGAAGAAGATTAAAAAGGTTCTGAGTCCAGATTACCCAGAACATTCAGAGAGTCAGAGAGATGTTGAGGTGTTAGAAGGTGATGATGAAGAGCAGAGGAGGAGCAGCAGAGAGGCAGTGATGAAGATCACACTGAACTTCCTGAGGAAAATGAATCAGGAAAAGCTGGCTGACCATCTGCAGAGCAGTAAGAGGATTTCTGAAGAGATTTGAAATTATAAATTACACATTTGCTGAAGTGATGTAATCAAATTCAAAACATGATTTTCTTTCATATCTGATTTTTCTTATTGTGTTAATTTAGGACATTTGCTCCAGTTTGTCAACATGAACTTAAATCTGGTCTGAAGAAGAAGTTCCAGTCTGTGTTTGAGGGGATTGCTAAAGCAGGAAGTCCAACCCTTCTGAACCAGATCTACACAGAGCTCTACATCACAGAGGGAGGGACTGGAGAGGTCAATGATGAACATGAGGTCAGACAGATTGAAACAGCATCCAGGAAACCAGACAGACCAGAAACAACAGTCAGACAAGAAGACATCTTTAAAGTCCCACCTGGAAGAGATCAACCAATCAGAACAGTGATGACAAAGGGAGTGGCTGGCATTGGGAAAACAGTCCTAACACAGAAGTTCACTCTGGACTGGGCTGAAGACAAAGCCCACCAGAACATCCAGTTCATATTTCCATTCACCTTCAGAGAGCTGAATGTGCTGAAAGAGAAAAAGTTCAGCTTGGTGGAACTTGTTCATCATTTCTTTAGTGAAACCAAAGAAATCTGCAGCTTTGAACACTTCCAGGTTCTGTTCATCTTTGATGGCTTGGATGAGAGTCGACTTCCACTGGACTTCCACAACAAGGAGATCCTGACTGATGCTACAGAGTCCACCTCAGTGGATGTTCTGCTGACAAACCTCATCAGGGGAAAACTGCTTCCCTCTGCTCTCCTCTGGATAACCACACGACCTGCAGCAGCCAATCAGATCCCTCCTCAGTGTGTTGGCATGGTGACAGAGGTCAGAGGGTTCAATGACCCTCAGAAGGAGGAGTACTTCAGGAAGAGATTCAGAGATGAGGAGCAGGCCAGCAGGATCTCCCACATGAAGACATCACGAAGCCTCCACATCATGTGCCACATCCCAGTCTTCTGCTGGATCACTGCTACAGTTCTGGAGGATGTGTTGGAGACCAGAGAGGGAGGAGAGCTGCCCAGAACCCTGACTGAGATGTACATCCACTTCCTGGTGGTTCAGACCAAAGTGAAGAAGGTCAAGTATGATGGAGGAGCTGAAACAGATCCACACTGGAGTCCAAAGAGCAGGAAGATGATAAAGTCTCTGGGAAAACTGGCTTTTGATCAGCTGCAGAAAGGAAACCTGATCTTCTATGAATCAGACCTGACAGAGTGTGGCATCGATATCAGAGCAGCCTCAGTGTACTCAGGAGTGTTCACACAGATCTTTAAAGAGGAGAGAGGTCTGTACCAGGACAAGGTGTTCTGCTTCGTCCATCTGAGTGTTCAGGAGTTTCTGGCTGCTCTTCATGTTCATCTGACCTTCATCAACTCTGGTGTCAACCTGATGAAAGAAACATCAACATCTAAGAAATCTTCACTATTTAATAAACGTAAAATAATTTCTCTCCACCAGAGAGCTGTTGACCAGGCCTTACAGAGTCCAAATGGACACCTGGACTTGTTCCTTCGCTTCCTCCTGGGACTTTCACTGCAGACCAATCAGAGACTCCTACAAGGTCTGCTGACAAAGACAGGAAGTAGATCACAGACCAATCAGGAAATAGTTGAGTACATCAAGGAGAAGATCAGTGGAAATGTGTCTGCAGAGAAAAGCATCAATCTGTTCCACTGTCTGAATGAACTGAATGATCGTTCTCTAGTGGAGGAGATCCAACAGTCTCTGAGTTCAGGAAGTCTCTCCACAGATAAACTGTCTCCTGCTCAGTGGTCAGCTCTGGGTTTCATCTTAGTGTCATCAGGAAAAGATCTGGATGTGTTTGACCTGAAGAAATACTCTGCTTCAGAGGAGGTTCTTCTGAGGCTGCTGCCAGTGGTTAAAGCCTCCAACAAAGTTCTGTAAGGACACAGATTGTTAATACAGTTATCTTTGATAGAAATATACTAATGATGAGGTAAATATATATGTTAATTTTTTAGCTTATATATTGTTGCATTGTCTCCTCAAAGTTTCTCACTGGGGGTGATGTGTGAAGGAGACACAGACTCCCTTCAGCAGCTGACATAGTGATACATATTAAAGCAGCAAAACTCGTCCTCTTTATGTTAAAATTTAAATTGCATTAACTTTGTTAATTGTGGAATTTTATCATTCTCTTTCCAGACTTCTTGTTTCCTGTAGTTATAAACTTTAAGGATGGAGGACTAACTATAAAATGAACCATTTCGCAACAAAAGGCATCATAAACATGTGTAAAATAAGATAGATCTCTGTCCAAGAAAAACCTTGAAAAATATAAATTTTTGTAGAATTGTATGAATAACATATTTTCCTCCCTGTCTCCTCAGACTGAGTGGCTGTAACCTCTCAGAGAGAAGCTGTGAAGCTCTGTCCTCAGTTCTCAGCTCCCAGTCCTCCAGTCTCAGAGAACTGGACCTGAGTAACAACAACCTGCAGGATTCAGGAGTGAAGCTTCTCTCTGCTGGACTGAAGAGTCCAAACTGCAACCTTGAAACTCTCAGGTAAAATGTTCTCAATCCTGGTGAATCCAGATATCTGTCCATTATATTCTATCAGTTATGATTCAAATGTTTTTTCAATAATAGAAGAAAATGATAATAGATGTCTTACTGTTAGATGGGTATTTCCCCCTATATTGGTTTTCTCAATGTTTTTTTTCCAAACATGAGTTTAAATTGGAGGAGTTTTTTACACAATCCTTTTATAGAACAATTTGATTCTTGTTCAAATAGTTTTTGTCAGTTACTGCTCAGTTTTCTATCTCTGTATCCAATAGTTAAATATGTAAAGATGAAACTGTAGATTTGCTCTGCTTTGATTCAAGCTGCTGTTTTCCCTCAAACCAGCTCTGATGCTGATCCTCAAACTGAGCCTGATGCTGATCTTCAGCCCAGCCTTGATTCTCAGGCTTCATTGGACTCTTTCTGTTAAAACTGACATGGATTCATTTAGTTCATAGAGGAATTTAATATTTCTCTTGCCAGCCTCCTTGTTGCCTTTAGTTCAGTCCTTCATGGCTGGAGACCCAAATATAGACTGAACCAGTTCACAACAAAAGGCAACATGATTATATATAAAACAGTCCATTAAATCAGTAAAGAGGAACATTGTTGACTGGAAAAAAGACATTTTAATAAATTATTTAATAGTATATTTTCCTCCCTGTCTCCTCAGACTGAGTGGCTGTAACCTCTCAGAGAGAAGCTGTGAAGCTCTGTCCTCAGTTCTCAGCTCCCAGTCCTCCAGTCTCAGAGAACTGGACCTGAGTAACAACAACCTGCAGGATTCAGGAGTGAAGCTTCTCTCTGCTGGACTGAAGAGTCCAAACTGCAACCTGGAAACTCTCAGGTAACTCTGGGCAATCCGTCCATCCATCCATCAGTTCAGACCTTGGTCTCTACCTCAATGTTCTCATTTTCTCATCATGTGATGAATCAATCAATCAATCAATCAAATTTTATTTGTATAGCACATTTCAGCTACAAGGTATTTCAAAGTGCTTTACATCATAAACACAAAACACAAAGGCATGCAACATAGAATAAAATACCAAGGTTTTTTTTTTCTTTTCTTCCCTCCTCTTTCCCTTTCTTCCCCCTTCCCTTTGACACGGAATTTAAGTGCCTGTTACCGCCGGACTCCGCCGTCCGTTTAACCACGGGTATTTGCCGGGCCCCGTTGCCCACAACAGGAAAAAAAATAAAAAAATAAAAAATTACATACATATTCACAAAATCAAATCCATACATATTACATTTGAAATGTAACTCTAAACAGGTGCGTTTTTACTTGAGATTTGAAGGAAGTCAGGGTTTCCGCTGTTTTACAGTTTTCTGGAAGTTTGTTCCAAAGTTTTGGTCCATAGATGCTGAAAGCTGCTTCTCCTCTCTTGGTTCTGGTTCTGGGGATGCAGACCAGACCAGAACCAGAACCTGAGAGTCTGGCAGGTTGATACAACAACAGCAGATCTTTAATGTATTGTGGTGCTAAACCATTCACTGATTTATAAACTAACAACAGTATTTTAAAATCTATTCTTTGAGCTACAGGGAGCCAGTGGAGGGACTTTAAAATTGGTGTTATGTGCTCTATCTTCCTGGTTTTAGTGAGAACGCGAGCAGCAGCATTCTGGATCAGCTGCAGCTATTTGATTGATTTGTTGGACAGGCCTGTGAAGACTCTGTTACAATGCGACTAAAAATAAACGCATGGATGAGTTTCTCTAGATCTGGCTGAGACATTAGTCCTCTAATCCTGGAGATGTTCTTCAGGTGATAGAAGGCCGATTTTGTTACTGTCTTTATGTGGCTCTAGAGGTTCAAGTCCGAGTCCATCACTACTCCCAGGTTTCGGGCCTGACCGCTGGTTTTTACTTCTAATAACTGAAGCTGTGCATTGACTCTAGATCATTCCTCTTTAGGTCCAAAAATAATGACTTCAGTTTTATTTTTGTTCAGTTGGAGAAAGTTTTGGCACATCCACACATTTATCTGCTCTAAGCATTTATTCAGTGATTGGATGGGTTCAGAGTCACCTGGTGACATCGTAATGTAGAGCTGTGTGTCATCCACATAGTTGTGGTAGCTAATATTATTTCCTGTTATGACCTGAGCTAGTGGGAGAATATAAATATTAAATAAGAGGGGTCCTAAGATTGAACCTTGGGGTACCCCACATGTGACCTTTGACCTTTTGAATAAGAAGTTTTCAATTGAAACAAAGAAATCCCTGTTCTTTATGTAGGATTCAAACCAGTCGAGCACCGAACCGGAGAGTCCAACCCAACTCTCCACTCGATTCAGTAATATGTCATGGTCGACAGTGTCAAAAGCTGCACTGAGGTCCAACAGAACCAGCACTGTGGTTCTGCCACAGTCCGTTTATATGGATATCATTGAATACTTTGACTAGGCCAGTCTCCGTGCTGTGGTGAGCACGAAAACCAGACTGGAAAGTGTCAAAGCAGTTGGTCATCATTAGGAAACTATTTAATTGTTTACACACAGTTTTTTCAATAACTTTGCTGATGAATGGGAGGTCAGAGGTCAGAGGTCGGCCTGTAATTCTGCAATAGTGATTTGTCCAGGTTGTTCTTTTTTAACAGTGGTTTGATAACTGCTCTTTTCAAAGCCTGGGGGAAAACACCTGATGTAAGCGATGAGTTTACGATTTGGATCAGATCAGTAGCAATAACAGGCAGGACTTTCTTAAAGAAATGTGTGGGAAGGACATCCAGACAGCAGGAGCTTGACAGGAAGTTTGTGTGTCTGCAGCTTATCAGGCTGTTTGGTCTCAGAGGAAGGCTGTGCTTCTCTGGCCTCAGCTCTGACCTCCAACCCCTCCCATCTGAAAGAGTTGGACCTGAGCTACAATCATCCAGGAGACTCAGGAGTGAAGCTGCTGTCGGCTGGACTGAAGGATCCACACTGGAGACTGGAAGCTCTCAGGTATGGAGGAACCTGCTGCAGGAGCAGAGAAGGTCTGAGGAGGAAGAGGGACAAATGTCTTTAGTCAGTCTGATGGGAAACATTTAGTATGAAGCTGAATAGTTAACTTGTTGCTCAAAGGAACAGTTTTTGTCAGTCACTGCTCAGTTTTCCATCTCTCAATCCAACCAGTTAAAAATGGAAAGATATAATCTGAGATTCTCTCTGCTTTTGTTGAAGCTGGTGTTTTCCCTCAAACCAGCTTTGATGCTGATATTCAGACTAGATTTTCAATGGACTCTTTCTGTTAAAACTGACACTGGATTAATGTAGTAATATTTCTCTTGCCAGCCTCCTTATTGCCTGTAGTTCAGTTCTTCAAGGTCAGAGTCCCAACTATAGAATAAAGTTTTGAAAAATATGACCTATTCTTCAATAAGTCCAAGAAGAATATTGTTGACTGGAAAGTAACACAAACATTTGATGATTTCTTAAACATTAGGGGTTTCTGTAAAAAGAAACGACTTCCTTCTGCATGGATATAAACTATAAAATTAAACAGTTCAGAACAAATGGAAATATCATTTAAAATAAAATTGTTCTTTCAAATCTACAAAAAACATTGTTGACTGGAAACAGAAGGCTTGTATTAATAACATATTTTCCTCCCTGTCTCCTCAGACTGAGTGGCTGTAACCTCTCAGATAGAAGCTGTGAAGCTCTGTCCTCAGTTCTCAGCTCCCAGTCCTCCAGTCTCAGAGAACTGGACCTGAGTAACAACAACCTGCAGGATTCAGGAGTGAAGCTTCTCTCTGCTGGACTGAAGAGTCCAAACTGCAACCTGGAAACTCTCAGGTAAAATGTTCTCAAAACTTGAAACCAGATTTCTGTCCATTATCTTCTATCAGTTATGATGCAAATTTTTTCAATAATAGAAGAAAATGATAATAGATGTCTTACTGTTAGATGGGTATTTCCCCCTATATTGGTTTTCTCAATGTTTTTTTTCCAAACATGAGTTTAAATTGGAGCAGTTTCTTTACACAATCCTTTTATAGAACAATTTGATTCTTGTTCAAATAGTTTTTATCAGTTACTGCTCAGTTTTCTATCTCTGTATCCAACAGTAAAACATGTAAAGATGAAACTGTAGATTTGCTCTGCTTTGATTCAAGCTGCTGTTTTCCCTCAAACCAGCTCTGATGCTGATCCTCAAACTGAGCCTGATGCTGATCTTCAGCCCAGCCTTAATTCTCACGCTTCATTGGACTCTTTCTGTTAAAACTGACATGGATTCATTTAGTTCATAGAGGAATTTAATATTTCTCTTGCCAGCCTCCTTGTTGCCTTTAGTTCAGTCCTTCATGGCTGGAGACCCAAATATAGACTGAACCAGTTCACAACAAAAGGCAACATGATTATATATAAAACAGTTCATTAAATCAGTAAAGAGGAACATTGTTGACTGGAAAAAAAGACATTTTAATAAATTATTTAATAGTATATTTTCCTCCCTGTCTCCTCAGACTGAGTGGCTGTAACCTCTCAGAGAGAAGCTGTGAAGCTCTGTCCTCAGTTCTCAGCTCCCAGTCCTCCAGTCTCAGAGAACTGGACCTGAGTAACAACAACCTGCAGGATTCAGGAGTGAAGCTTCTCTCTGCTGGACTGAAGAGTCCAAACTGCAACCTGGAAACTCTCAGGTAACTCTGGGCCATCCATCCATCCATCCATCCGTCCGTCCGTCCGTCCGTCCGTCCATCCGTCCATCCATCAGTTCAGACCTTGGTTTCTACCTCAATGTTCTCATTTTCTCATCATGTGATGAATTGTGTGTCTGCAGCTTATCAGGCTGTTTGGTCTCAGAGGAAGGCTGTGCTTCTCTGGCCTCAGCTCTGACCTCCAACCCCTCCCATCTGAAAGAGTTGGACCTGAGCTACAATCATCCAGGAGACTCAGGAGTGAAGCTGCTGTCGGCTGGAATGAAGGATCCACACTGGAGACTGGAAGCTCTCAGGTATGGAGGAACCTGCTGCAGGAGCAGAGAAGGTCTGATAGAGGAGGAAGAGGGAGAAATG